CACGGCTGGTACCGAGGGTTGTAATGACTGAAGAAGGCGTTTCATCTCTGCCATCTCTGAAGAAAGAGAAGCAACAGTCTTCGATAGTGAATTTTCTGTCCTCTGTAAAGATTTCTTCTTGATTGGCGGAGCACCAGCAGCCGCTGATGTGCGACGGTTTTGAGCATGTCGTGGCGCTAAATACGGTTGTGTGAGGATAGCAGACGAGTTAGGATCTAGCTCTGCAAGACACAACTGTCTCTCTGACAGCGGCAGCATGGCACAATACAAACACGGATCAGTGAACGCTTCTTTCAGATGCTGAATCCCTAAACATGATGGGCAGCGATTGTGTCCATCATCGGGAAGAAGTGTGTTCAGGGCGGGCACCGTTTGCAACTCAGTGGAGAAACGGAGATATGAGAGCTGTGAGCCATGACTCCATCAAAATACATCCTCGGTAGCACCATAGGAACATAAACTGCGATAACGTGCACAAAAAGATCAGGTGTTGATAAAATCTTTAGATGGAACCGAAAGACTTATTGAGTGAGAGAAATTACATATGGATTATCAAAACTGCCTTCAGATAGCACCGCGGGGCATACGAGAGCTTGCACGACGGTGAGTCACTGGATAGTACCCTGAAGCACAGGGTATCGCCAACACAACGATCAAATGCAATAATGTGTACTCATGTAATGAATAAGAAAATACAAAAACATCCGTCCTGATGATAGTGCAGAGCGCGCTGTCACAGCTTGGGAGGGCGAATCCTCACAACTCAGGTAAGCTGCACGGGACAGGGCTAAACAATGACCTATCATAAGCGAGAAAGCGAAAGAGGCTGGGCATCGAGCTGCTGTGGTTTACATCCTCGCATCTCGGTCGATGTCATGATGTGACTTTGTTGTTATTTTTTCTCGACCTATCTAGCTGATGCAGTGATTATCCACTAGTGCTTAGCACCGCCTCTGGTGGTCAGGAGGAATGAAACAGAACTGTGGGCTTCCACACAGACGCGCGCACACATCTCCGCATGAGAAGTGTTTATTAGACGGGGAAGGACGGGGTCTCAAAATTAAAGATGAAAGGTGCAACATAATGCCAGCAGGGGTCACTCATACTTCATTAAATAAATAACAAACAGTTAATTCTGCCGAAATACATAATACATGAAACAGTTTTGGTGGTATATTATTGATTGTTTATTTTGCTAAGGTTGGCTGCTAAGGGTGTTGCTCAGTGATGCACAAAACCGTTGGGTGAAGCGGTCATAGCCATGCTGTATCGTGAATAAAACACAGCTGCTGACCAATCAGAATCGAGGAATGGAACTAACCATTTTATAATACTTTGTACAAAAGCCTTTGTTGGTACAGACCAGGTTGGCTGCTAAGGGTGTTGCTCAGTGATGCACAAAACCGTTGGGTGAAGCGGTCATAGCCATGCTGTATCGTGAATAAAACACAGCTGCTGACCAATCAGAATCGAGGAATGGAACTAACCGTTTTATAATAATTTTGTACAAAAGCCTTTGTTGGTACAGACAGCTTCAAGACGCCTCCTGTATGGAGAAACTAGTCGCATGCATTGATCAGGTGTGATTTTGGCCCATTCTTCCACAGAGTCTTCAAATCTTGTAGGTTCTGTGGGCCTCTTCTATGAAATCTGATCTTTAGTTCTTATTTTCTATTGGATTCAAGTCAGGTGATTAGCAGATTAGTTTCTTAAACCAATTGAGAGTTTCCTTGGCTGTGTTTGGGATCATTGTCTTGGTGAAATGTCCACCCTTGTTTCATCTTCATCGTACTGTAGATGTTGGAACTGAACCAGCTAATATTAATTTCCACTGACTAGGGGCAGGGTTGCTTTCTAATTACTGATAGATTTCAGCTGGTGTCTTGGCTTTCCATGCCTTTTTGCACCTCCCTTTCTTCATGTGTTCAATACTTTTTCCCTGTGTCATTCTATTTTATTACACATAACTTAATTTCTGAACTGGTTTGTTTTGTTTTCTTTATATGCATGTATTACTTTGGTTGTTACCGACATCTGGTGAAAATTCAAGTCAACAGCACCTTTAGAAATATATTTACTGAGAAAAACGGTGACGTGTTCAATACTTATTTTACCCGCTGTATGTAACAGAGCAGACTTACACAACAAAGCATCTCTACACGACATTTACAATACTTTACAGAGCACCTTTACACAATAGATCCGTTTTACAAAACAGAGATTTACAACACCTTTACACAACAGAACAACTTTACACCACCTATATGTAAAAGAGTAGGTTTACACAACAGAGCGACTCTACACCACATTTACTTTACAGAGTACCTTTACACAACAGTTACACCACCTTTATATAACAGATCAGTTTTACAAAACAGTGCATATTTACACCTTAACACAACAAAACAGCTTAACATGTACATATTTGAATAATTGTACACCACATTTATGTAGCAGAGTAGGTTTACACGACAGAGCAACTCTACACCACATTTACTTTACAGAGTACCTTTACGCAACAGTTACACCACCTTTATACAACACATCAGTTTTACAAATCAGAGCAGATTTACAACACTTCCAAATAAAAGACCAGCTTAATATGTACACATTTGAACAATTGTACACCACCTTTATGTAACAGAGCAGACTTACACAACAGATCACATTTTACATAACAGAACAGCTTTACAAACCTTACATAACAGAACAACTTTACACCACCTTTATTTAGCATAGCAGGTTTACACAACAGAGTAGCTGTACATCACATTTACTTTGCAGAGCACACAGCAGTTACACCAACTTTACACAATGGATCAGTTTTTACAAACCTCTACACAACAGAACAACTTTACACCACCTTTATAAAACAGAGCATATTTACACAACAGAGTAACTCTACATTCAGAGCACTTTTACACAACAGATCATTATTATAAAACAAAACTACTTTACAGCATTTTTACACAACAGAACAGGTTTACAAACCTCTACACAACATAACTTTACACTACCTTCACATTACAGAGCAGCTTTACTCCACATTTACTTGATCAAGCAGCTTTACACAACAGATACAGCACCTTTTCACAGCAAATTATTTTTACAAAACAGAGCAGGTTTACAACACATTTACATAGCAGAGTAGCTACCATTTGCTTTTGGCTTCTTAACTTGTTGGCTTGTTAGCCTGTTGTTTCAGTTCAGTCCTCTTGTGACACTGTCCACTTTCTCTAATCTTGTTTTGACGAATCCCACTGATGTTACAGTATAGGCAATTGTAATTGCCCTGCAAAGTGGACTTCACAGGGTGTCCCACAATTTAAAATCAGATTCCAGTCTGAAGGAAGCCTACTGTAAATGTAAATTTTGAAGGGCAATGCAAACATTATAGGGAATAAGAGTGCATCAATTGTATCCAGTCAATAGCAATCGGTGTCCTAATTTGCCTCAATTCACCCTACTGCAAGAAGTCTTACTAAAACAAAAAGTTACAGCAGCCTAATAAACTTGCTTGTTGTCTGTCACTTAATGTTAATCAAACAACAAAAGAAACCGATAATAGTTCACTGCTCTTCGGAATAACTTTAGTAACTTTAATAGCAATCAAGGTACTGTATGTTTAATACATATGGTGAAGATGACTTAAATATGCAGTGCATTTGTCCTATATTGTTTGCAATTTCCTTTTTTTATATCTTAAAATTTCAACCCACTTATTTGTTGACAGTAAAACTGCTTTGAAAGAACAGATTAAGGGGTTGCAAGTCATTTTGGGGTTCTTACGAATGCACTGCCAAGGGCCCCCAGACAAACTTTTGCTTAAGGCCCCCAGAAGTCTAGGACTGGCACTACTTTAAATACTTAAGAGAATTTAATGACTTATAACACCTCTATAAATGTGTTATTTCAAACCTTTAACTCAAGGTTCAATTACTGTGTCTGTCATTAACATCCTTTACAGATATAAAAAGCTTAATAGGAACTTACTGAAGTGAATCTTGCATGCGCAACAGGACAGGATTACTGGAGGGACACTCCGGCGGACAGCAAGGATCAGAGATGATGACTAGGGCAGGCATCTCTTTAGGTAAGATTACATTCCCACACGATTGCATGATAATCAGCTTTGCCTGCACATTGCTACCAGGGGAGAAGCCCTTATTTCCCCGGCAGGGGCCTTAATTAAAGCTTAAAATAATGGGACTGAAACAATCCCCCACCTCCTACTTAGTGAGTGGTGTAGACGTATCATCACATAAATAAATGATTATTCAGCATTTTTAATTCTATTACAACAGAATGTTAAGATTTTATGGTTCTTTAATTACCTTAAAATTGTATTTTATGCCATTTTTATCTCCATGGCAAATCAGGACAACTTAGAAAAAACAAATAATACAATTAAATCTTACACAACTTTAAAAGTACATACATTTCAATAATAGATTTGACAAATCTACAAAACTTTGCACAATATGCAGTTTTTGCATAATACCAAAAAAACCTGCAAATATGCCCATTCTCTGAAAATCTTTATAACACCTAAAACATTTCAGCAGTACTGTGTTGGATGTCTTGAGATGTTCAAATTAAATAACATTGATTTAAAAGTACAAATGACAATTCTGTCATCATTTACTCACTTAGATAATTTACTACTTCATTGGTCACCCTGAAAATGAAAGGTCAAGTTGAATGCATTGCATGCATTTATATACAAATTAGTATTGCACACACAATGCAATTAGAAAATATTTGGCATATGCTAAACATTTATTGTAATGTGGGCCTTTCCAGATGGGAATGGGCTGCTCTAGTAGTCTGGTTCATGTAAAGGGTTTTTTCCCCCCACAATCTTCACGTTATGGATTTTTTCCCCCTTTGCCAGAGTCACCTTTGGCTAGCTGACTGGGGAAACTAAAGCATAATTGCAACAGTGTGGATTGCGAAAAACAGTATAGGAACAAAACTGACACAAATTTTTTTTCTTTTAGCTTTTTTATTGCAGTATGAATAGCACAGCATCATTTGTTGGAGGACTGAAAGGAAAAACAACACTGTGCATCACTCAATCTCTCTGAAGGCCCTCTTCTCTGAGTACTTCAACTTGTACTTCCTCTTAAACCTGAAAGGAGAATAGGAACGATAAAAAATGGACATGCAAATGAAAGTTAAACAGAAAGCATTGCAGCTAACACCACTTAAACGCTTCATTGATTTTATACAAATAAAGCAATAAAACGCTGAACTTACCTGGCTCTTTCTCTGGGCTCGATAATGTTTCTCTTCTGTAAGCTCTTAAATCTATCTTTTAGGATGCTGCCCTCTGGCTGCACGACAAAGAAACACATGTTATTAGAAATAACATGCAACTGCAACTCAGTAAGTGCTCAACACTAGCAGTTAAACATACCTTTAGACTGCGAAGAGAGCTGGCAAGCTCATCGCTAAGCTGAACATCTAGATCAGGTGTCTGGAACCTATGGAAAAATAAAACGCTTTCAATTCCAATCAAAGAACAACAGGTTACAACCACAGCAACCTTTGTGTTTGTGTTCCATAGCTTTTTATGCAGGGACCTATTGAACAATATGATACAGGAATAGATTATCCTAAACAACCCTTTTAAGAAAGCCAGTATCCATCAGAAAACAGCGTACCTGGAGAGGCCACATGATTGTCAGATTAATCTTACTGATATTTTTTTGAAAGATATGTTTGTTTCCATTGGATGTGTGAAAACATTTGTGACCCTGGAGCACAAAAGCAGTAAGTCAAGTCGCTGGGGTATATTTGTAGCAATAGCCAAAAATGCATTGTATGGGCCAAAATTATAGATTTTTCTTTTATGCCAAAAATCATTAGGATATTAAGTAAAGATATTTTCCATGAAGATATTTTGTAAATTTCCTACCATAAATATATCAAAACTTAATTTTTGATTCGTAACATGCATTGCTAAGGACTTCATTTGGACAACTTTAAAGGTGATTTTTTTTTGCACCCTCAGATTCCAGATTTTCAAATAGTTGTATCTCAGCCAAATATGGTCAGATCCTAATAAACCATACATCAATGGAAAGCTTATTTATTCAACTTTCAGATGATGTATAAATCTCAATTTCGAAAAATTGACCCTTATGACTGGTTTTGTGGTCCAGGGTCACATTTGTGAAACATTATTTGTAATAAAAAAAATAAATAAAAAATAACCCCCCCCCCCACTTCTATTTAAACACGTGCTAATACATTAAATTGAGAGTTACACCTGTGCATTATGCATCATAATCAGGTAGTTATTTAATCATTTAAACAACCATTTACCTTTACATGATATATTTATATATAGTTAACTGAACTGAGAAAAATAAAGAAATTATGCGAGTTGCAAATGGTGTACAAATTGCCATAATTTTCCCCCATAATAACAGAATTGAATGGTTGTTTAATGCAGTTCACATTACAATTTGTCGCAAGAATTTTTTTTTTAACAAGAATAACTTTAAATCATCTGTTAAAATCATCACATCCTGGGTGTCACTGATATGCAATACTACTGGGCTTATTTAATAAAATAATTAACAGAATACCCATTTGTACTGCATTCATGGATAGTACAGCAGACTAACTTCAAATCAGATGAAAATTCTCTCTATCATGATGTCATGAAGTGTGCAGGAAAACAAATGCAACTGGGGTTCCTCCGGGATCAGTCCTTGGACCCCTCCTCTTCTCCGCTTCTATACGCTACATCACTGGGACCCATCATACAGGCACATGGTTTCTCCTACCATTGCTATGCTGATGACACACAGTTCTCTTTCATTTCAACTAGATGATTCAATGGTAGCTGCACGGATCTCAGGCTGCCTGGCGGACATCTCAGCATGGATGAAAGAACATCACCTGTGGCTCAACCTGGCAAAGATGGAGCTTCTCGTCTTCCCTGGCACTCCAACTCTACAGCATGATTTCACAATCCAGCTAGGTTCATCAACAATTACCCCATCAATTCGGTCAGAAATCCTGGTGTAAACTTTTTTAACCGGTTACAGCTCTCACGTTCCAAGACATTGATGCTTGCGTATAGAACAGCCACAGGCTCAGCACACTGCCTACTTCCACTCACTATTATGAATTTACATCCCCTCCAGAAGTCTGAGATATACGAGTGAGCAATGCCTCGTGGTACCATAACACACAAAAAACGTTGCTTTCCTTAATCCCTCCCTGTCTAGCTTGTGCTAATCTGAACAATGCGAAACTTTGTATTATGAGTACTTCCTGTTTATTTGCCTCTTTATGATGAATCACTTGTTGAATTCCTCAATTATAAGTTGCTTTGGATAAAAGCGTCTGCTAAATGAATACATGTAAATGTAAAAGAACTGACTTGAGTCTGCTCAGTCGGCGAGGCATGCTTTTCTGTGCCTCTTGTTGGGCCTTGCGTTGAGCCTGCCTCATCTTGGTCCTCTGTTCCTGCTTCTTCACGCTGGTATGGATAGATCGCAATTGGAACAACTGCTGCTGCTTATCAATCACCTGACGCTCCGCCTTCCTCTGCAAATCCTGTTCAATAAATTAAAGCTTTGAATGTTAATCAAGAGATTCATACCCAACTTGGTCAACAGGCAAGTTCATTCTGCTTTACCTTAATCCTTTTAGCTTTCTCCTTTTTCCTCTGTTTCTCAGTTTTCTTTTCCTGTGTTGCAGTTGGCCCAATGACTGTGTCTTCGGTGTCCCCTTCTGGCTCCTTTGGTTCAATCTCCTCTTCCTCAATCAACCCCTCCACCTGCTCTTTAAAGGTGCTCTCCTAAATAAACACACACACAAAAAAATGCATATTTAGGAGAGCATGTGGATACACTCCAATCTGAACTTGGAACTTATGTCCAAAATGCTAGCTTACCCACCCAACATACCAGAGATTCTGATATCGCTTGATGCTGAAAAAGCCTTTGATCGGGTGGAGTGGGACTACCTTTTCTGCACCTTAAGAAAATTTGGATTTGGTCCTAATTTTATATCATGGGTTAAAATCCTCTATTCCTCCCCAATGGCTGCAGTCCGCACCAACAATAATCGATCTGCCCTATATAATCTACAAAGAGGCACCAGGCAAGGTTGCCCGCTGTCTCCACTTTTATTTGCCATTGCAATCGAGCCACTGGCAATAGCCATACGGCAAGACATCTTTATTAAAGGGTTTCGCAGGGGGCATATGGAGTGTAAAATTTCGCTTTATGCGGACGATTTATTATTGTATTTATATCAGATCCCTTGCCGGGTCTCTAAATTATTTAATATTTAGGAAAGATTCAGATTAAACCTCCAAAAAAGTGAGTTAATGCTGCTCGTATTTTTCAATTCGATTCCTTTTAAAGTTACCATAAAAATGATTAAATATTTGGGAATCTGGGCTACACGCAATTACAAGGATCTATATAAAGTTAATTTTCTGCCCTTGATAGAAGGTCTGAAACAGGAAATCAAACGCTGGGATTTGCTGCCCCTCTCTTTAAGTGGAAGAATTAACACTATTAAGATGAATGTATTGCTTAAGTTCCTAAATTTATTTCAAATCTTCCTATTTTTCTGACTAAATATTTTTTCAACTCCATAGAGAAGCCCATGTCAGCATTTATCTGGAACAACAAAAATCCTCGGATTCGGAAAAGTGCATTACAAAAGCCCCACGCCATGGCACTTCCCAATTTTATGCTTTATTACTGGGCGGCTAATATGAGAGGATTGACTTACTGGATGAGGTAAGTGATAGCCGTTGTACCCCTAAATGGCTTAGTTTGGAGAAAACCTCCAGTAAATCTGTTTCCCTATCTTCTTTAATGTGCTCTGAACTTCCAATGCTTAAACCTGCCTCTCGCTACTCCTCGAATCCTATGGTGATACAATCACTAAAAATTTGGAATCAATTTAAAAAGTAATTTGCTCTCCGTAGTCTCTCTTTATGTGCCCCATTAAGCAATAACTGCATGTTTACTCCTTCAATATTAGATAAAGCCTTTGATGTTTGGGCTAAAAGTGGGATTTGAACATTTCAAGATCTTTATATAAACAACATTTTTGTATCTTTTGACGAACTGGTTAATAGATTTAAGATTCCTAGGTCCCATTTCTTTAGATACCTACAAATACAAATTTTTTTGGTTTCGCATACTGATTGTTTTCCCTCATATCCTCCCACATCTCTATTAGACTCTATTTTTAAGATAGGACAAGACTTAAAACAAACCATAGGTAAAATTTATAAGCTCCTCAATCAGCATAGCCTGGCAAATTTAGACCATCTGAAGAATGAATGGGAGGAAGATTTGAATGAACAAATCCCGGAAACAATTTGGCAGAAAATTATTAAACATATCTACTCATCATCTAGATGTCAACGTCATGTGGTTATACAATTCAAGGTGGTACACCGACTACATTGGTCAAAGGTTAGGTTATCTAGATTCAGACCAGAACTAGATCCTATTTGTGATAGGTGTAGCCAGGCGCGTGCATTATACATATGTTTTGGACATGTCCAGCTTTGTACAACTTTTGGAAATCGATCTTTGATGCTTTCTCAGAAATGATAGAATTGCCAATAGATCCATCTCCTTTTATTGCTATATTTGGCATCACAGCACAGAACATGCGTCTAAGTGGTTATAATTTTACTGGGCGGCTAATATGAGAGGATTGACTTAATGGATGAAGGACAGTGATAGCCCTTGCGTCCCTAAATGTCTTAGTTTGGAGAAAACCTCCTGTAAATCTGTTTCCCTATCTTCTTTAATGTGCTCTGAACTTCCAATGCTTAAACCTGCCTCTCACTACTCCTCGAATCCTATGGTGATACAATCACTAAAAACCTGGAATCAATTTAGAAAGTCATTTGCTCTCCGTAGTCTCTCTTTATGTGCCCCATTAAGCAATAACTGCATGTTTACTCCTTCAATATTAGATAAAGCCTTTGATGTTTGGGCTAAAAGTGGGGTTTGTACATTTCAAGATCTTTATATAAACAACATTTTTGTATCTTTTGACGAACTGGTTAATAGATTTAAGATTCCTAGGTCCCATTTCTTTAGATACCTACAAATACAAATTTTTTTGGTTTCGCATACTGATTGTTTTCCCTCATATCCTCCCACATCTCTATTAGACTATTTTTAAGATAGGACAAGACTTAAAACAAACCATAGGTAAAATTTATAAGCTCCTCAATCAGCATAGCCTGGCAAATTTAGACCATCTGAAGAATCACAGTAGGGCTATTGCAGACAGAAACAATACTGTACTACATCGATGTTTCCTGTCAGCTTGATTTTTGAGTGGACTTTGCTGTTCCGATGAGCATGAACGGTATATGAATGGAGCACTCACATGGGCCGCGAGCAACTGAGCGGAGCACACACGCACAGAGCAGGATAACGCACACACAGAGCGGGATAATACTATACAGTCTATGGATAATACACACACGCACACACACACGCACACACACGTGAATCCTGAGTGGTGAACTCATTTTCGGCAGCCGGAATTTCTGTGCATCTCTAATTATTGGCGGCATTAGAAATGGATATTATATAATAGCTGCTTTTTTGAACATTTTAGCAATTGAAAAATATTAAAAAATGATTTTTTTTACACGGCACCCCTGCTCTCGACAGACCCCGGTTGGGAAACACTGTTATAAATAATGCCGCGAGTGGGGCTTGAGGAAGTGTCACCTGCGTCTGCGCCTGATGCAGCCTCTGAAGCGAGACACAGGAAACAGAAATACTGCAAAATAATAATAATAATTTCAAGACGAAATATCATTATAACATTTAGTTTCGTCTCGTTTTGGTCAACGAAAATGAAGAGAAATTTTAGCATAGTTTTTATTTTGTAAGCCACATTTCGTCTCGTTTTTATTCGTCAACGATATTGCATTGTGCATTTAATTATCGTCATCGTCACATGACCAGCATTTTCATCTCGTCTCGTTTTCGTCACGTGATAAAGGTTCGTTGACGACTATATTTAGTCATAATTTTCGTTGACGAAAGCAACACTAGGCCACCCAGAGATTCTATGCAATCTGGCAACCTTTTCTGTCATTTGTTGAAAAACTCAAGTAGGGAACACAGTCCCAAATTTGTATAACACAGGGTTTCCTTTTTTTAATATAATTGATACTTTTTGTCTGATGGGTAGTGGGGTGGGTGGAGTTGGGGTTTTGAATATATATTTTGTATTGTTTTGATCTTTTGTTTGTTCTTGCATATGATAAAATTTTAAATAAAAAGACTAGCATTACTCAAAATGCTAGCTTACCCACTACACAGCACTGTATAATGCTTACCATCACACACATAAAAAAAAAGTAACTCTTTAGTATAGGGACCAATTCTCACTATTAACTAGCTTATTAGCATGCATATTATTAACATATTGGCTGTTTATTAGGGCTTATAAAGCAAATATTCTGCATCCCTAATCCTACCCAATACCTAAACATAACAACTGCCTTATTAACTTATTAATAAACAGCAAATTAGGAGTTTGAGGCAAAAGTCATAATTAATGGTTTGTTAATAGCGAGAAATGGACCTTAAAATAAAGTGAGACTCAAAAAAAAAAGAAAAAGAAATGTGAGGTAACCACGTGAAAATAAAAACAAAACGGTTTTTATAAATAAAAAGCAATTAAAAAAAAACAAAGTATTTTGAGTTTGAGTCGAGAAAGATGTTAAAAATGGCAGCTACAATTATGCTTGGTTCATTCTTCAGACAGAAATCAGTTTGATTGCATTACACTGCGAGATACAGTATTTTCAGCTGAATATTAAACATTTTTGCAAATGCAGTTATTATCGTAGACGGTAAGCCTTTCAGCAAAGGACAGAAAAATGATGCGAGGCAGGAGACGTTACGGTAAACGTGGTCATATTTACTGTTGTTCTATGAATTTGTGCAGGCAGAATCCAGTCATCTCACTAGGAATTCTCATGATTGGGAATTTGGCGTTTGAAAGTGATTTCTGTGTGAGCTGTACTTCATACATCACTACACTATTTACAATAGACATTTTTTAACTTGCAAATTTTTGCTAATTTGACCATAGCTCAAGGTTAGAGGTTGTACCTCAGTGGCCTTATCCTCATTCACAGCCAGTTGACGTGCCAACCTTTCCTCTGCTTTCTGCTTCTTGACCTCTACCTCATGGGCCTCACGAAGCAGCTCCTAGAGAAACACACACACATTGATTTCAAAAACATATTGGTCATTTGATCATCAAATCAAAAAGTTTTCTGATACAATGAGCTTTGTGTAGCAGAAACGGGCAGTATTTTACCTGGTGAGAAAAGAAGTCTGGGTTGTATGAACCTCCAGGAGCGATGACTTCAATCGCAGGAAGAACGGAAGGTTTCTCATTCAGTCTATCTGGTCTCTTAAAAAAAGTGGAGAAAAATGAACAACAAATTCAGCACACGACCATAACAACAGCTAAATATAGTGGTTCACTGATATGGATTTTTTAAATTGCAGATGCCGATACCTTAGGCCCTGTTTACACCTGGTATTAAGACGCTAATAAGTAGACAAGGCAGACACATTCTAGTTTGCACCTGGTGTTTTAATCCATCTCTTTTGTCCACTTATGACCACTTCTGTCCTGATTTTGAGGGGAGGGTCTATGAGAGTGAGTGTACGTATGGGCTTTTTCTGAGCTTTCGATCTAATATTGTGAAATAAGCTTATGAAACTTACATAAGAATGTCAAAGGAAACAACGCAAAAAAAAAATGATACGGAGAGCAGCAGCTTCCGTTGAACTACCCTTGAAAATAGTTGAGTGGACAAGCTCAAAAAATGTTATACCCCATCCACACCTGTATTTAGCGTTGCCCACTTGTGATTAGATTGACCAAAACACATCTTAATACCAGGTGTAAACAAACAGCATCTTAGAGAACAAGCTGGCTAATGGTTGATTAGCCAGTATATATCAAATCACACTACTAAAGACAGTAAATAACATAAGCATAATAACTGCTGCAATGAAACTTAAAGTGCCCTTATTATGGGTAATGAAAGGTTCATATTTTGGTTTTGGGAGTCCCCAACAACAGGTTGACATGCATGCAAGGTCAAAAAACACGTTCATTGTCTTAAATATGCATTTATTTTTACTTTACTTGTTTAACGACTCCCAAACGATTAGCTCGACCAGTGTTTCCCCTAGGTTTACGCTCAGATTTTTGCTCAGAAATTCTGTGTTGTGTATTTACATTTTGTTTTAAGGCATAAAACATTCATTTATATCTTTTAAGTAATGAAAATTAAACAAATTAATTTTTTTGGAATATAAAGGTCATTTAATATTACAATTAAAACATTGAAGAAATATTGAATGCTTATTCCTTAAAAATAAGGTTTTAATAATTTTAGTAGTAGTAGTAGCAGTCCGTTGCGTACATTCTACTCAACAACAGTAATATATTTCTGCCAATGCCCTCAAGTTAAACCAAACTTTTATTTTGACGGGTTGCCGTGAATACCTTTACATTCCTGTGTGTGTATGACACGATGATAGTTTTACTCAAATGAAACGGTCAAATGCTGATGAAGTGACTCTCAGAGCAGTTCTGGAGATGTTATTCATGTATTTATGTCCTCATTAGTGAGACGGCAGA